TTTTAGCCCTGTTTACTGTTTGTTTTGCACTGTTTACTACTGTGTGTATAATACATGTATGTTATACAGGATAACTTGTATAGTAGCGATGATATCTCTGATTCTCATCACTTTTCCAAGTTTTCTTGTTCAAGTTTAAAAAAAAGAAAAAAGAATTGAAATTTGTTTTTCCAGATGAAATCGATTATGGATTTTGATAACCAAGCGCTTGGTTCAAGCCACTGTTCAACCGATGATCGAGTATAAGTGATGATCGTGACATCACTATTTGCCAGTCCTCTGACCATTTAAACAAAGAGTTCAGATCCTGTTGCAGCCTGTGTACTTGTTCCGGTGTTCCTACAATCCCAAACAACTTGGTGTCATCTGCAAATTTGGAGAGGTTATTCACCACTGTTTCATCAATGTAATCTATATATACACCAAAAATTTTACAGGGCCAAGTACGGACCCTTGGGGGACACCTCTCAAAACTGGTTTCCAGTCGGATTGATCTCCATTTACTACCACTCTTTGTTGTCTACCTCTGAGTTTGAGCTATTCCGCTATCCAATTCACCACCATGCCCTCAATGCCGTGTGTCTTCAGTTTTTCTATAAGCCTCATGTGTGGGACCTTGTCAAAGGCCTTCTGGAAATCCAGATAGATCACATCAACGGGGACTCCTTTATCTACTCGGTTGGTGACATCTTCCAAAAATTCAAGCAAGTTTGTTAAACATGATCTTCCTGAACGGAACCCGTGCTGTGTGTCGTTCATGAGATAATTTCTTTCCAGATGGTCTACAATATGATCACGCAGACATGCTTCCATTAATTTGCAACAAACTGACGTTAGGCTGACTGGTCTATAGTTACAGGTACGGTCCTTTGGGCCTTTCTTATAAATGGGTGTAACGTTGGCATTCTTCCATTCGTCTGGAATGTAGCTGTTGTCCAGGCTTTGTTGAAAGATCATCTGTAGTGGTTCACACACCATGTCTGCCGTCTCTTTCAGGACACGCGGTGGTATATTGTCACCTCCACTTGCCTTGTCAGGCTTCAGTTTTAGACACTTGGTCCTCACAACCTCTTTGCTAATGTTTATGTGTTCAAGTACTGGGTCTCCTGGTGCGATTTTCTGTGTAGGCTCCGGGATGTTGGACGTGTCCTCGACGGTAAACACGGACGCAAAATAGTCATTTAACATACTTGCCATATGTGAATTGTCTGTGATAATTGTTCTGGAACTGTCCGTCAGCGGGCCTATGCGATCTTTTGTAGAAGTCCTCCCACGTACATACTTCCAAAAACTTTTAGAGTCATTCTTTATGTTACTTGCCAATTTGTACTCAAATTCGCGTTCAGCTTATTTTACCACACCCGTGGCATGGTTTTACGACTGTTTGTACAGTTCATAATCATTTAATAGTAGTACTAGTAGTACTAGTAGTAGTACTATAGTCACGGTAGTGTACTTTACTGACCGACACTGTCACTGTCGCTCATAGGGTCTATGTCCCCCAGGGTACTGCCGTAACGTACCCTGGTAACTAATCTGATTATTATAGGGTTAGGGCTGGTAAACGACTCGCAGCCGGCATCGGAATCGGTGATCGGGCATTCTCTCTCCGATCCGATCCGCCAACCTCGGATATTTTTTCGGGATGCGCCCGCTATGTTTGCGCGATTGCACTTCGATACCGACTTTTTCCTCGAAGAGGAGTGGCGGCACTACGGCTATACTTAGGCTGTGGAGTGTGTGTTACTGCACAGATGTTATCCCAGCGGCTGTGCAGTGTAAGGTATAACCTGCTACATAATCTCTCTAGCTCATATCATTCAATTTAGTATCATATGAATCAATTTCTAATGAATTTATTATTGCAAGAAGTAATGAAAGAATATAAAAAAAATAGGAGATGAAAATTTTTCATATTTTGGGAATCGAATCGAACGGTGTCTAATATGCGGAGAACCAGGATCGAAATCGAAGAGCTTATGTAATTGTTACAGGCCCTAGTGTAGGGTGTAGGTAGGGTTAGGGGAAGGTAGCCAGTAGGCGAACTCCAATAGACCTCGTAAGTCGGAGTAGGCGAGGTACGGTCCTGCAAGTATTAGACTGAAGTACCAGGGTACGTTCCGGCAGTACCCTGGGGGACATAGATCCTCTCAGCGTCACTGTCAGTACTGTGTAGTACCCGTGTAGCGTTGTTTGTATACAGAGCCGGACTAGGCCCTACGACTGTTTCACGTTGTGGGAACTTCTCGTCGCGTAGTGAAAGGCGAGAAGGTAACTTGTGGCTAGAACGTCGTCTGAAGTTTTGATTCGCGTAGCTCCAAAATGGCTATGGCTATACATTCAAAATGCGTATTAATAAGGGGTATTAATAATAATATGCCGACAGGAGTATATATAATAGTAACCTTAATACTGATTAGGGGGTGCTGCTATGCAATTAGTTGCGATACCAGATGACATCGTCATGGCATCACTATTATGGTAATGCATTACTAGTACTATGTTTCAGCGATGTGGTATATGCCAACAGGCAGTTTGAAACAATTTGCCATATTTCAGGTTAATGATGCTTGATGTTGTTTACTCATATTTCACTTCTTTTAGGTGATGTCAATCAGTGAACTAGACTGGAGTGACTATATGCTAGTTTTGGTAAGTATGGAGTTGCAGCTGCTATAGCAAAAACCTTTAGTAGTTGTTAGGCCATTATGGAAATGTATGACATGGTAAAATGTTTATGCAGTGGTTATCAACAAAATTATTTAACCCCATTTTTAAGTGCACAATATCTCATGAGAATAGGCTCGGGACATAATATAGAGCAGTGAGGGGATGTTGGTGGAGGTTTTATTAGAAAGATATAACTCTAATGGTGAGAAAGTTCAGCTGAGTAACACTCCCCAACAGGCCCAACTTAATATAGGGCTCATGTAACCGAACACTAGTTGTCCAGTTGTTACGACCAGCTGCATTTTAGAGTGGTCTCGAACTATATAAATTGAAAATAATATAACAAATGTTAGATCATAGATCATTTTTGTAGACAGAAGACTAATATTGTGTAACTTACAGAAATATATTTGTAAATCGCTTTCGACTACAATATAAAATGAATTTTTGTGGGAACGTTTTGCAGCCATCAGTTTCATTTGGCAATGTTGGGCAGATGGCAGTGGACCTTCTCATTTCAACATTTCCAGTAAAGAAAGTCGGATACATGGAGCACGAGGCTTTACTCCCCATAGTGGGTGCAGACCCATACACAAATTCATCTCAGCTGTCAACCAGTTGTGAAGGTGAGTTTTCTAGTGTGTAATGTTTCGTTGTTCCAGGCTCGTGATATAGATAGATGACAGGGTCAAGCAAGGTATAGGTAGGCTGAACAAATTCCTAGGGAGAGGGTGGGGGAATTGTCAAAAGATAAATCATACGTAGGGTATGGTTAGACTGAAGGGATAATTGTGATTTTTTTATAATTTGTAATTGTTTTGTAGTTTGCAGTTTTGTTCCGTTATTTATTATATTCATTTTCAGTTACTTACAATTATGACCTAGTTTATTTTTTATTTTGCTCCAAAATCTAGGTGGGAGCTGACACGTTGCTCTCCTTCTCCAGAGACTAGGCCCCTGGATGATATGGAAGTTTCCATTGTGTTTGAAAAATGTGAATGTTACGTACTCTACAAAACACTGAATGTCTTTTTAGGTTTGGAATAGCCAATTCTTTAGTTTAGTGGTTATTGATGTACTTATTGTAATAATCTGTCTACCTTTCAATTAATCGTTGACTAACTATAGGTGACCTATCATTTAACAGTGTACGTGGCAGTTGAAAAGCAACTTGTGATCATACAACAGAGGTCACCATTTGTAAAGGTAAGACTGAAACCAGGATGTGGCTTATTATTTATTGTAGGCATTAAAAATAAGTTCATTCATCAGACACACATCAAAAATGTTGTGATAGAAATAAGAATATAAAAGGCAACAATTATATTCAAGAGCTTCTTAAGAAGCTCTTTTTTTCACTGAACACCAATACACTCATATACAAAAATACAGTTTGAACAAAAATCCATATGACCACTATAATACAACATCGATACACAGATACACAGATCGATGGGATACACAGCCCTTTGAATTTGAAATCATCCCACTGACCACTCTGATATAAATTATAATCCACATGCTTGACCTGACTTGCCAAGCTAACCACCATGATCTAAACTTTTCATTGCTTAATATATCGAGAAAACAACAACAACAACACACATCTCCCTTGCAATACCCCACAACACAACACACGTCTCCCTTGCAATACCCCACAACACAACACCTTGAAATACCAAAATACGCAATAAATACAATGGAAGAAAATAGGTATCATAACATCACTGAAAAACTCCATCCACAACGAATATCACTAATGACCATATGCCTTCCATGTATGTGTGATCAATCACATACATCGAAACCTAGGTCACTCGTAATATCCCTCTCCTCAAGATCTTTAAACAACCCTGCCATTATGTATGTAATATATATATATATATGCTTACTCAACATCATGCTCCAGCTTACAACATCTCTGCATCCTAAACCGCAGGATTCACACGCGTGTATGCGACGCATATGCTATCGATATGTAACAATAACAAACACTGTTCACTCATTTACTGTATTAACATGCCTATTATATATATGTCATAACAACATGTTCCTAACTAAATATACTCTGCCATATTCAGCGTCACATTTTTCCCAAAATAACATCATCTGTGCTTGCCATTAGCGTGTCGCCAGCCTTCTATAGTATCCAACTATACACCTGTGCATAACTAGATATCATACGATTATCAACTGTGCCTTCATATATGGCGTGACTGAACGAATCCTTATATCGTTCAGGTACGCCATAGTATCTTAGGGTGCTTACACATCGAGTGTATCTATATTTCGTGCTCCCTGACACGTTATGTCGAGGATTCCCAGCGTATATATGCTGCCACAGAAATCCCTCGTAGTCCTTCTTTCGGACCGTGTACGCGACTTGTCTTTACAGAGACATAACTTTAGCCGCATATTTTCCACACGTTAAACGTGACGCGTGACGCGAATACGTTCCCTCTTCGCCCTTTATCACACGTGTGCCACACTATCTATCCTAGCCCGTGTAAGTTGTAACGCTGTCTATACCTTATGCACCCTATAACGCGTCTATTGTGGCACAAACCGTCCGCGGTCTATTTACATAAATGTGCAACAGGCAATATCGTCCGTATACTTAGCAGTCAGGCGACAGTAAACGGCGTTAGCACAGCGAAATTTATACTAGGAAAAATGCATCACCTACCACGGCATTATATCTTCCTCTTCGTTCTTCTAGCTTCTTCTCTCGGCTTCCGTTGCTCTGTCTGTTTCGGCGTCTCGGCATTGCCTTCTTTCCTTCCGTCTCTCCCTCTCGCTCTTCTTCTGTCTCTCTTGCTCTCTTCTTCCTTCTCCAGTTATCTTCCATGGCTCCGTGGCTCGTGAATCGTTTGTAGTGGTCGCATCTTGAGTTATGTCCGCAAACCCGGTTCTAACTGTCAACGGCGCCAAAATGTAACGACGATGATGACGTTACCCGGTTCAAAGTAGATTAGTTGTAGCGATGAATAATGAAAACTCCAAAGTCCAAGCAGTTGTGGTCAGCAAATAGTATTATTGTTTCTCAACCCACATGCACGCGCACAGAGGCACGCAGCCACGTGCCTCGCACACTCACGTCCCACATGCACAACAATTCTCTCTCCACCGTTTCTCATCTTCATCATCCATACTACATCAAACGCGCTACCGCCGACTAACCCATTATGCAACCACAGTCGCTACATTTCCAATCACTCAACTACTATTTGTAGCATCTGCAAACCATACTTTGCAGTTCGTTGAAGCCCCTTTTTGGAGTTAGGGTTAGGGTTTGGGTTAAGGTTAGGGTTCTAGCTCATCTAAACTCTCAAATCGTGAATTTATTTCCCAATGCGTTATTTCGAAATCTGGCGCCGCCGCCGCCATCTTTCTCCCGTTAAGTATGAAAGCGAATGGACTGCCGTACCCGTAGCCACTGCCTAATTAATATGGGCCCGTACTACTACTACTAGTACTACTACTACTAGTACGGGTGTCACTTTTCCCCGGGGAATAGATGGCAGCACTAGTCACTTCGTACGCTTCAAATTCCAAATCTTCCACGGAAAGATTCCACAGTCATACTTGCTAGACATGGCCTTATTTCCCTAACCCTAACCTTAACCCTGACCCTAACCCTAATCCTAACACAAGTGCAGCCACATCACGTGACCCTCCGTCTATGCCCGGGGGAAAGTGACACCCTACTAGTAGTTAGTACAAGTAGTAGTACTAGCAGGAGTAAGATAATATAGACTATATCTATATTATCAGGAGTAAGATAATATAGGAGGAGTATGACAGTCCAAAACACGTGAAATTCAACATTTGCTTGCCTAATTTTACCGATGATATATTACATGCAACTCGATAAAAATTACATCTAAATTAGCGTTGGGCATCCACCGCACACTCAAACTTTACTTTGTTTCCATACCTCTTCTTTTTATGGAGATATAGCTTTGGACGTCACACATGGTTTATAGCGTTTGACTATGGTGGTGGTTTACGTTAGCCGTCACGTTCAAACAGTGGCTAGCCTGTGAGGAATGGTCTTGTCTGTTGACAAGAATGCCACCTGTTGGCGGCAGGAGTAAGATAATATAGACTTCTATATTATATTCTATATTATATCATACACACTATATATATTATCCTATATATATACACGTATATATATACACACATATATACACACTATATATATACACACATATACTATATTATCTTATATTATATAATGTCATATATTATCTTACTCCTGCCGCCAACAGGTGGCATTCTTAGCAATAGCAATCTTATATTATCCTACTCCTGGTACTAGTAGTAATAG